GCCAGCACCGCCGGGCCGGGTGGCCGCCTCGTTCCGCCGCTCGCCCCGCCGCGCCGCGGGCTCGGTCCTGGTGCCTCCGGTCTCGCGCGTCCCCGAGCGGCAGCAGCGTCTCCCCGCGCCCCCTCTCAAGCGGCCATTTTCTGCTCCATTGTTACCAAGGAACGGGGGCCGGAAGCGGGGGCCGCCGACGGCGGAAGTGAAGGGAAGGCGCGCTCTGCGCATGCTCCGCCCGCGCCCTTCGCCTCGGCGCGGGGGTAGCGGAACCTGACGCAACAGGCCGTCGAGCTCGGCGGACCGCCCGGCTAGAGCGACCACTCGGCGCTCGCTGGTCCGGCTGCCATTTTGAAGGCGGCTGAGGCGGGGCGTGAAGGGCGGGTCCCGGGCCTGCCCCAACAGCTGGGCCCGGGAAGGCGTCGTCCGGGCCCAGCGCCTGGTTCCGCGCTAAAAGCCACGACTAGGCTGTGGTGGAGTCGTGGCCGCGGCCCTGACCAGCGAAGCCGCGGCCCAGCAGTGTTGCCAGCTCTGAAATACGAAACGATTACCTGGGAAGCTCATAATGATTGGATTTGCTGAAAAACTGTCCTGCGCTGGGGGAAAAAAAATGCAAATAAGCGTTATTTACTTTCCTCTGCTCTACTTCGCCAGCGGAGCCGTCAGAAGTTGAAGCATGTTGTTATTTCGAGGCAAGCCGCCATGAGAAGAGCGCTGACAGTGATTCCAGAAGTTCGTTCGGACTATTTGAGAGCGATTTGGAGTTTGCATTTCCTGTGTCGATGAGCTGCCTCAAAAATGATGTCTGTTGTGGATGCTTTTGCTGTTCTTCATTGTACAAGGGTTCAAACAATCATATGTATATGATCATTAGCACACGCCTGGCAACACTGGCCTGATGTCGCATCCTGGGGCTCGTCCTGCTCCATCCCACGTGGCGCGTCTGTGCTCTGTGGCAGGTGGGGACAGGTGTCACTCAGTAGATTTAATGGCTGGACAAAACAGGCCCCGTCGAGGGATGCAGCCTCGGGAATAGCCACCCACTTCGCAGCTGTGCGGGGACCGCTGGAACTTTCTGTGTCAGAAGAAATGGGAAAACGTCTGTGACCTGAGAGACCAAGGAGGATGTCCTGGGCAGTAGATAGTGTGGCATAATGGAGAGAGCAACAGCCCGGGCTTCAGGTGTTGGGGTTGTCGGTAAGCAATGGGAAGTCAGTGACCAAGTGCTCAGCACACCACTGATTTATTTGAACATGAAAAGCCCTGCCCAGGTGATTATCAGGACAGCTGCTGGTTGAGAGACCGTATTAGCAATTAGTAAATCCACAGGGTATTTATCAGGGAACTCTACTGATAGACAAATAGGAGGTGATGACTGCGAAAGGTGATTGACAGTT